ATGATAACATCGCGGGGATCAAACTTTTGACCCAAAAATCGAGGGCGTGTGTCAGGCTTTTGCTGGTCACTTGCCTATAAAAAAATGTATTACGAAACAGATAGATAAAAAAAATCAGTGGCGTTACAATATCTTTGTCTGGCCTCAGATTCTGTTTCATGATAGTTTTTCAATATAATAGCCAAAAAGGTGATCAACCTCCTATGCCTGACACTAGCCGTCGGCTTTTTGGCGAAGGCAAGCCGGTTTCCTCACGATGTTTTCCTTCACCGGTTGACCGAATGATAAATGCACACATAGAAAGGAAATCCATTGGTGCACAGCCGGGAATTGAACCTACGACCTCAGGGATGAGTGTAGACTAAATCCACTAGGCCAACACTGCTCTACATATTATTGATTTTAAATATTTAATAAATTTGTTGACTGCCCCTAAAACTCTCTTGATATATAAAAAATGTAACAATAATTTATCTGTATTAATGTGTGACAATTATGACATTTATTCTAATCGATTATAAACAGGTTTAAATAATTAGCGTTAAATATGTTAGAGGTCAAGTACAATTTAAAAGCAAAATAAAACAGAACAAAACTAAGATGTCAATGAAATCATTTAACATTTTAAAATGGAAACCCGAAAGCTTCAGCCTTGTGCGACCGGATTTATTTTAAATTGATAATTATCAAAAAATATTATTATTGATTTAAATTGGGTGCTTGGTCTGGCTTTCAAGACTTCGAATTTATTAAACACATTAGTTTATTTTTTTCTTAAGAATTTAACTCTCGTTTTATATGTAATATTAATAAGACGATTTATCTTTTCAGGTAAATATCGCATTTCTTTGCCAAAAACGCTAAGTATACGCTATCTTAAGTATCAAATCCTCTTGCTATATTTCCCGAGGAAAATGTCGATCTTAGTGTAAAAGAGAAACAAGATTTAGTTGTCTCATGTCTTTGCTTCACCTCAAAAGTCCTAGTCACGTTCCATATGCACATGCAAAAGTGAAATCTATTTATTTGTCATAAGATCTATTATAAATCAACTTGTATTTCTCTGTCAGTGCTCTATTTCATTTTGTTCTTTATGCCGTACGAACAAGGTTGCATTTCATTTAATTAGTTTTGGACGAGTTCCCAAAATTCCATATTGATCGCCTTCTTGATAAATGTAAAAAGCATCTTGATATTTGTTTGATATTGATAAAAAAATTATTAGTCGATGTGAAAATTCTCTATGTAAAATTAGGATTTGATTTTAATAAAGTTATTGTATTGAACAATTCAGAGCAATGAACGCTTCCTCTAACCTATTTCAGTACAATCAACCCCGACTGCCTTTAAACACTATTAATCACATCGCAACGAACAGATCCTGTTGTTTGTACAAGATTAACATCAATATTAAGTGTAGTAAGGCAGATTTTCCCCTGTACAATGGCGTGCGTAAACCTCCCGTTCACCTCTGAACCCCTAGTATTATGTAAGCGGAGTGCAATGGCCGCGGAAAAGTGCTTAGCAAAAATTTCGCGGAATCTTAAATTTCTGGGGTCTTTTGTAAAATAATGATGATTTGCGGTTTTATCACTCAATTGGTTAGCTCGATTAAATTTATTGTTATATGTCAAAACTGCTTCATCATAATTAATACTAGACCAGAATATCTGCTTTGGTTTAGAGATTATTAATAACTAAATTTACGCTTATAGTTAAGTTATAATCTTAGTAATTTTGTTGTTGTGAATAGATACATGGATTCTTGACCTAAAACTATATAGTTAGATAGATTTGGTTGCGATAATTTATAGTTACACAAAATATCTGAAAGCCCCTAAAGCTATAAGTATTCTCTTCTTGGTTTTTACGTCTTTCCATAATATTACAGTAGTAATAGTACATGTGCGTAATTAGCGTGGCAACGTGGTATCGTAGAATGTGGGTTAAACTCGTGGCGGGGGTTGGCAATGCACCGGGCGCAGGTCGTTGACCGGTATCGACCGCTGCCAGTCGCCCCCGCGGCGCCGCACCCCGCACCCCCTCCCAACCCCGCAACCCCTCGCAAGCCGGGAAACACCGCATGCGACATTTCATATGCTCTACGTTTTCACGTAAAATACAATGATTTAGGGGAAAAAATTAGGTCAACTTCGGCTCACGTAAATTTTTAATTAATCAACACTTCTATAGCTAAGAACCTCCAACATTTGTTTTGCAAATCCTCGATTCTCTAGATGTTTTTATTAATATAATGTAAGCCTTAACTTGTTTAAAGTTCGTTTAAGTATCGCTATCGTCTTTGGGTTTTTTTCATGAAAAATTCCAAAAGTCATAGTGTTCCATCAAGAGCGTCATTTTGGCTGCCGGCCAGACTGTTACGACTGAAGGGTTACTTCAAGTATCATAAACATTGCAAAACATTAATTTTTTCCTCACATTGATTTTCTATATAACCACCATTCTATAATATAGAATTTGGTATATGCCATACGCCTTGGTTCTGATTCAATAAGAATTAATACATCTTCATAACAGGCCATATCTAAGTTGAACAGCTGTACGCGGGAAAATACAAGGGGAGTAAAGTTACCCACCCCGGAACATTGTTGTCATGGCAACGACTTACGATTTCCGTTCGTGAAATTTGTCTATTACAACAAGTTTTGCGTAGGTTTTAAATGAGATTATAAAATAATAAGTTTCAAAGTTCAATTGAATCAGTCTGCGACGTGTCGTGATCTGTGATCATTTTATTTTATGGCCCGGGACAAATAAGTATAAATATCTTAAAGAACACATTTTTACACTCCGTAATATTGAAAAGGTTATTAATGTGACTGATGCTATGGAAGAACATTTTCCCTAATATCGATCTTCGCGCCCCCTTGTACGCCTTGTACATTCAGTATTTTACTAAAATCATTTTAATGTGTGTATGTTGAAGTTGGCAAGTATTAATTAATTTTCTATTGATTTGAAAATGCGCTTTTAGAACTTCAAACGAATACCTACGGAAGTCGAGTGAAACAGAATGCCTGTGTAAAAGAGAGGAAGCGTATAGCTTTGTTTTTTATTATTCAGGACGAGTCTCGATTCAGGGATCCCGCTAATATTGAATTTCGCTTTAGGCGGTGCTACGGCGTGTTTGCTTATATATTATTAAACTAAATTTTTCACTCAAAACATGTATTTATGTAATTGGATATACAAACGTTAACTCTACGAAGTTATGAAGACGGAATCATTGCCGCAAGTAAACAAAATGTGGTTAATTAATTCTAGCTAACAAGCACTTAACTTAATGATAATTACCGTAAAAATATCGAAAGCTAACTGAAATGAAAATGTTAACGAATATGAAAAAAATATTCCTACAAAGTGGTGAATGTGAAAGTTCATGCTCAGCAGCATTAAACTCAGGCCTGATTACGTCAAGAACAGGGAGTAAATGTAGGTACTAAATAAAATAGAGAACTTGACATTTCTTTAATATAACTGTATTACGAAAGCTTAAATCGCATTAGAAATAGATTTTATAAGTATTTAACTGCATACCGTAGCACGTAGGCTGTCTTAAATACCGTTACGTAGCGGCTGGCGTGACCTGGTTGCTACGGCGTAGAGTGCACTGCCCGCTACGTTCTACGAGCGTAGCAAATGTAGGTGAGTGAAGATACTCGACAGAATTCATATTTTCCCTCTGACTGTGGTAAAAATACGTCAAATGAAATTATTTTTACCCACTTAGCAGATAAAACTGAAACAATCAACTACTATTTACTAAACTTTGTGTAATCTTGTTTGTGATGTGGTTGGTTTGTCATGTGGAGTATTCAGAACATATTCAAATTGAAAAGGCTCATATTAATCTCGACCGTTTAAATAATAAAACGAGGAAACTTTGTATTTTTAATGCTCGGCCTCGGTTCAGAATTTTTGTTTCAAAAACATTTGGCGTTTATCGTACAATCGTAAATGAAAGTTTAAGTTGATTTTGTATTGATTAAAGTTATCTGGAAAATATAAGTTAATATGGCCGCCTTATGAGCTACGAAATTTAATATTTACATTAATTAAAATAACTAATTAATGTATATATAATAACTTAAACGTTCACTAAAAAAAACTTCGTAATCCATTTAGATTAAACAAACATATTTATTAGTAAAAAATAATATTGACTGGTTGTGGACTTCGTTTATTATCTTAGGAAAAGAAACTCCAGGAAAATGAAAATCATCAAATAAACCATCTATCTCATATCTTTCGTTATAAAAGAGGGGCCAGCTCGAATAATGGCGCTCTCAACGCACAAGGCTACACTGAATACAGCCTCTACTAAATTTAGTTTCGTTAATTTGTCGGCACAATATCACTGGCCAGTCGCCAACTAACTGTATAGTGCGGCTTAAATCTCCTCTCGTTTCAGTATACGACTCTTGTTATCTCTAATTATGCAGAGTTCAAAATTCACATACCATCTATATAATCTTGTATAAGGTTTTGCCTTTTAACGATTTTAGACGAGGCAGGAAAAATAATACACATGAATAAGTAGGTATTGTTATTACGAAACATATAATAAAGCTGCACATACATGGAAACCGTAAGATTTATATTGAGGCTGTGTCAATGCCCCTGGATCCCCATTTGTAACTAGAGCCGCGTATTTTTATTAAAACGCGTTATTGCTGAACATATTTTACATGTGAACTTTGTGATTTATGCAAATGATTATCACATCTCGTCCATCATATATATCCAAAATTGCTATATATGGATGTATACGTAAGAACTTTAACTTATCTTAACAAAACAATTTATATTGATTGCGGCTGCCCCCGAATCCGAGTTTCCAGCCACGTTGTTTTTGCCGCATTGGGGTCGCGAGCGGGATAGATGTATTATAACTGATGTGTTGATAAGGGATGCAAGCTTCTCTTTATCTCGTATATCTAAACATTTCACACAAAATCTGACTACGATTTTATATTAACATGTTTGAACTGTTTTGCGTTGATCCAAAAATCAATGAGAATAACAATTATACATCCACGTTGGTTAACGCTGGCGAGTCGGCGCCGAGTGACGTGAACACAGCGTACTCCAGTAACCGCATGCCGGTATCGGGCAGGGCACGGGGGTGGGTCGTAGACTGCCGACGGTTTACAGACCTCGAGGAGCCTGTGACTGGAGCGGACGTCGCCCTTTTTCGCTACCAGATGTCTAAAAGGAGTTCCTATAAACCAAACTGAATCTTCTCATAGAAATTCAATAAACTTAACTTGTCTTTAAGGAGTTTTAGTATTTACTGAATAAAATGCTCTATGAAATATAGTTTTAATGACAATCCATAAAACTAGTGCACACAATAACGAATTTTCTTGAACAGTGGTTCAATTTCTGTCTTAAAAAGCCTCTGAGTCAAATTGATTCCCAATTTGTAGCTTCGTTTACTCGCTATCTTGCTAGAAAAAAATAACGACACTAAAGACCACTCTTCTTGTTCCAGGTTGCAAAATCAAAGCTCTTCGGGCGAAGACTAACACCTACATAAAGACACCGGTGCGCGGCGAGGAGCCCGTGTTTGTTGTGACAGGCCGCAAGGAAGATGTGGCACGCGCTAAACGTGAGATCCTCTCCGCCGCCGAGCACTTTTCCCAGATCCGCGCCTCGCGCAAGTGCGGCGCAGCACCCCCGCCACCCGCTGGTGCCCCTGGACACGTCACCGCGCAGGTGCGCGTGCCCTACCGCGTCGTGGGGCTCGTCGTAGGACCCAAGGGCGCTACTATCAAGCGCATTCAGCACACAACACACACTTACATAGTGACACCCTCGCGTGAGCGCGAGCCTGTCTTCGAAGTGACTGGACTGCCAGAGAGCGTAGAGGCAGCCCGCAAAGAGATTGAAGCACATATTGCTCTACGTACTGGTGCCGCTGGAGGAGCCGCAACTGGCACTGGCGTTCCAGGCGGAGAAGGTGAGCCACTGGCCCAGTTGTACCGCGCTGGACTGGCCTCGTTACTTCGTCCCGAACAAGAAGCCGCATTTTCCTCCGCAGGGTCGTGCTCTTCGGGTGGCTCCTCGGGCCGATTGGGCGATCTTCTAGGCATTTGGTCATCGACGGAACGCGACGAGGGTCTGGGCGAATCGCCATCGTTCGAGTCACCGAGCGCAGGCAGCGTGTGGGCCTGGGGCCCTCCGAGGCCGTCTCCTGCGGCGTCTCCAGCTCGTGCGTGTGCCGTGTGCGGCGAGCGCGGTGTGGCGGCAGCGCTGGTGCCGTGCGGCCATAACCTGTTCTGCCTGGAGTGCGCGCAACGACTGGCGGCGTCGGCTGCGCCCTGCCCAGCCTGCGCTGCGCCTGCGCATCAAGCCATTCGCATACTCTCATAAATATTTGCGGCTAGCCGCATTCCCCTCGAGGGGCTCGATTTTTTTACTTAAATCGTTACGAAAATAATAAAAAAAATCGCGTAATCGAAATCCTGGTGCCAAAAGTCGGCGCCTCGCCGGCACGGCCCGTCCGCCGCGCCGAACCTATCGTAAGTCGGCAGAGTTACTCACGATATATTTTCTTATTATGAACGTTTTTTATTATGGCGTCGAGCGTCCGCCGCGCTCGTCGCCGCAGAGAGTCGAGGTACGTTACGATAGAATTTCGAAAAAAAGCATAAAATTTAAAAAAAGTTGTATAATTATTATTATTATTGATAGCATAAATGAGAAATCGAAAATTTATAAAGCTTACCTAACGTAGTAGCGTAAAATATTAAGATATCGTAATATAATAATTATGAAAGCGAGGGACGGGCGGCGTGGGGAGCGCGCCGCGCGGAGCGGCCTTAGCCAATGTGTTGTTGATAGGTAATGATTGCAGGGCGTGTTGTTGTGTCGGTAGCTAGTAAGGTAGTGTAATGGCCGCCCGGGGCAGGCGCCGACCCGCTCGGGGTGCGCTTGGCCCGCTCGGGCCCCGCGTCGCCCGCTACGCTCCCCCGCGACCCATGCTCATTATTTTGACTATACGATTATTCGCTTAAATGATATTATACATACGTACACACTATAATTATGATAATATTAATATAATGTTTGTTTTAAGTGTGTTTTAATGTTTAGATTTTTATTGTAATGTTTTTATGAATGATTTTTATCTGTACGATTATTATTATTGATTATTATTTTATGTGTTGACGATGTTTTTTTGTGATGAAGCGCCCGCGCAAGCGTAGCGCGGACCGAGGCTGCCGTGTGCTCGTTTAGTGGTTAATATCGACTAATAAATTTAAAGTAATAAATAATAAAGAAATAATACGACTCATTCATTATTATTATTATTATAAAATATAGTAGTTTGTAGCACGACATTGACTAACCATTACCTATTGATACTTATTAAGTATTATTAATTATTATTATTATATTGAATAAATTTAATAAATGCATAATTATATTTCATAGGAATCATTATTCTGTATAACTCTAGTTAAATATAACGATAATAAATATGATTGTATTTGTATGGGACGATATTGTTATTTCGTTTAACGGGGGGCTGGTTTTATGGATTAATATTTTTTTATTTTTTTACCGTTATTAGTTTTTGACTTACTCATGTAAAGATACGCGAGGATTAAAAACTGCCTATTAGATTATATTTTAAAAAATAAAGGTTACGTAAAATCAGCCCCCGTCGTACGTAGTTCCAGTTATTTCGATAATTTTATTTTCATATTAAAATGGGTAGACGCTTTAGGTTCAAAATAACGTTGTGAAAATTTGTGAAATTTTGTAGACTACATATCTTATTATAAATCTAATATAAACTATAAATTTCGAATTTTATCTTTTATTTTTTCCCACACACCTAGTATTAATCACAACTATCTGTCTTTTATGGCATAAACATTCAAAACAGACAGATTTGGTGAGAAAAAAGGCTTCTACAGCAGCCAGTTGATTATAAGATATACTATAGTAGAGATTAGGTGTGACATTCAAGTACTATACATTGTCACTAATGAATATAAATCACAGCCTGAATTTCTCAAGTCTCACATTTTTATTCATTAGTGCGGGTGACAAATTCTAACATCGACGGTGCTACGGAATCTGCTCTTAAGTACTACGAGGATGCGGAATCTACTTGCAATTATAATTACTGCTAATCCACTAATTAAGTTATAAAGAATTCCTATCTGTTATTGTCTAGTATACATATTCAATTCCATTTCGATTTTCTTATAATGGAAATTATAAACTGCGTAATTATCAAAGAGTGAGAGAGAGGAACCTATACTTCATAGTACAAAACAAAGCTACTTCTCAGCGTCTACTTAAATTTTTAGGCAATAGCTATATATAAGGGTTCTATTCCCGACTGAACAGTAATTGTTTTGAGTTGGAAGAGGTACCACACGTTAACTATGTAATATTAACGAAACATGGAAATCTTTGACCAGGACAATGTAGTGACAGGCCGACAATCGAATTTGGTCCATATTCTATCGCTTTAAAAAAGTTATTACGGTAAGATATCAGGTACGAAATCCTATAATAATAAAACTGACACATGTAATCGATGTTGGGGTCTAAGACGAACATACAGAAATACAACAATTACAATTAAACTTAATTAAATAAAAAGGAGGGAAACGGTGGCTTTATCACTATGAGGCGCTCTCTTCCAGGCAGAGAAAAAAAAGGTAAGATGAAGGCAAGCAGTGCAAAAGATATACAAACTTAGTCATAAAGAATTTGTACCGTACGAGAAAGTTTTAACTGTGCACGAAAAAACAATCCTTTGGTATTAACACAGTATTTGACGCTAGACTTCAGAGTTAAGAGTCCTACGCCGTAGTTTCTAAATCAATAAATATTAAGTTAGGATATAGTGCACAGTTACAATTTTTATAAAATTTAGATTACTTTAAATACATTTACGAGCAGTGTTGGCCTAGTGGCTTCAGCGTGCGACTCTCATCCCTGAGGTCGTAGGTTCGATCCCCGGCTGTGCACCAATGGACTTTCTTTCTATGTGCGCATTAAACATTCGCTCGAACGGTGAAGGAAAACATCGTGAGGAAACCGACATGTCTTAGACCCAAAAAGTCGACGGCGTGTGTCAGGCCCTGGAGGCTACCTACTTGCCTATTAGATTTAAAAATGATCATAAAACAGATTCAGAAATCTAAGGCCCAGACCTAAAGAGGTTGTAGCGCCACTGATTTATTTATTTTTTAACTAAATTTAGGTCCCTCAAACCTTTTGTAAAAAAATACCGGTAATTACGACGAAAAATCCTCTTTACTTTATAACGTAGATTAACTGAATTAGATGTCACTGAAAAGATGACCTGGATATGATGAATACAGCTTTCATTTGATATAAATTGAACTTAAAATTTAATGGCAGTAGACAGTTGAACGACCCCGCAAATCCTCTTCCGAGCTCTTCAATCATTTTTACATCAGTAAAAACACTATTCACTGGGTAGTTTTACATAGTATGGATGGTTGTATCTACAACACTCAACTAGGAAACCTCTGCTGTTGGATGAGCAATACATATCTAAAACGATAATTACAGTGTTCGATACCGAATTTAATACTACGTTCGTGTCTTCGCACTTCGAATATTAAAATAAATCTCTAAATTTTTTGCGATGTCCATCAATGGAAGCACTGTTGCACTCGGCCTTCGAGGTCCGCTTTGGATTCTACCAAGGAAAAAATATAGCCAAATGACACAAACCTCTCTTTAGACACACGTCAACAACGACTGGAGTATGAAAAAAACATAACATAATTTGTACTCGAACCAAGGGTATGTAATACATAAGAACAGCTATGATGTGAATTTTTCATATAATGTTTGTACACGTCTTCACAAGTCCGTGGGCTGTTAGGTTGCTAGGCAACCGTGTACACGTGCAGATTCAAGGTCCTTATATCGTCCTTTTCATAATTCAATTTAAATTATAACAGTATTAACTTACATTGGTAATATTAAATTTTGAGACTTAAAGCGAACAAAACACTCAAAGATATTAGGTTCTTTTGCTTAGCGAATGGCTTTTAGTTCAATTTAATTTCAAATTAAGCTAACTAATAATAAAAAATTGATTAATTATATCATTTACCAAAAAGTTTTGACCTCTGCTCGAGTGTTTTAGTTTGGATCCACGGCTAAACGAATATTTTTGGTAAAAAGACAAAAATGGCCGTTCAATGAAAATAAAGTTTTAGTGGATAACAACATCTTTTATTGACACAATTTTAACTTGTGAAGCAAGGGCATGATACTTTACGACATCTGCTTTATTAATCATTCATCAACATGAATGTTCATCATCATCATCATCAGATGTTTTACCAGACACACTCCTTTTGTTATAAGGTATCATGCCGGTTACCTCACGATGTGATTTCACCATATAACGATGTATAATGTGTGCAATGTGTAAGTATAAGACCAGGCTTCGGACGCTCGATTAACATACCCATGATATTGACAAATACTTTTTTGTTACGTTTTTCTTGCATATATAAAATAATGCATATTATTAATTTATTTAATCTACATGAAAGTCAAAGTATTTATTTTTCGTTAAGTTGAAAGGTTCATACAAATAAATAACAAGTGACACCTTAATACGTTAGCAGGCCTCTTGACCTAAGGGCTGAGGTCAAACATCTCATTTGCCGGATTACCGCCCCAGTCACTCATTAGTGACAGGGTTTATGGGAAGAACTTAAACTTACATGTATAGTATTAGTAGTTAACTTAAACTTACATGTATAATAGTAATTGCTAGCTTTAATTTCAAACATTTTATTGTATAAAGTACTGTTACTCATTAAAAGCATTAAAAACATCTGCGTCTTCAAGTTTTGGCTCATGGTATGCTGATTTCCTCACGATGATTCTCTTCTTTGAATAAACAAGTGGTATACAAAAAAATGGTGCACACCCAGACTGTGACCCACGCATAACCTCAAATTAGGTAAGTCGCAGGGGTAGCATATGCACAGGCAACTAACATATTACTACAAACATTTAGCTATTATTAAATACTAACAACATTTTAAATGTAACTTTGGGATATGGAAATAAAAAGGCTATATTATTATACTATATAATAGTAATAATATATAGCTAATGTAATAATCAAATTTGATGTTCTGTCTATTTTATTGATATTCTATAGGATGTGTGATCTGTGCCAACTCTACTAGTTATTTATACAATTATCGTTCTGAATACCTTTTATCAACGCGAGTACATATTAATAAAAAATGAATAATACAGGATTGAAAATTGAGAATTATTTTGAATTTAAAATTGTATCCAATTACGATATTATACCTATATCATTATTCCGATGTAATAATATA